CGTGCTTGTGGCTTTCCAGACACCTCCAGGGCTTTTGAGTCTGTGGCCAGAGATCTGTCAGGGGCTAAGCTACAAGAGACGCTTATACAAAACCAGCATTTTGCCCCATTCTCACCATGGGTAGGCAGGAATCATTTGGTGACCTTTTTTTTTTTTTTTTTCTTCTTAAAAGCTTAGACCTAGAGCTGCTGGTCTGTTGGAAATCACTCAAGATACAGGGCTCTGGGCGGCTGAGCTTTCCAAACGCGATGTCCAATATTTTCTTTTTAAATGACTGGAAACCACTTATGAATACATTAGAACCCTGCCCCAGAAAACAGGCCTTGAGCTGATCATTTCATTTTCTTCCAAAAACCCAGAATGACCACAACTGGCAAGTAATCCTGCCACCAATGACCGTTAGCGCGTTCTTATCGCTTCAGCACCACGTGAGACTACAATTATGGAGGCAACCCCCAAAGGTAAATTGGTTTAAAGCCCACAGCAAATTAAGGGGAACTTCTGCTATCAATTCACATTGGTGGGTTGACCAAGAAGACCTGTTACTGAAAACCAGATGGGCTTCTCAGTGGCTACAGGAAGCAACCAGAACACCTGATTTGAAAGCCTGCCAGGCCAAACGTCCTCAGCCTTGCTCTAAGGCTCAACCTTTAGCATGCCTTAGAATCACCTTGTAAAAATGCAGACCGTGGCCTCTACCCCCAGAGTTTCTGATCCACAAGGTCTGGGTGGGGCCTGAGAATTTGCATTTCTAACAAGTTCCCAGGTGCTGCTTGTCCTGGGACCCTACTTGGTGACTTACTAGAATCACCTGGGAGCTTTAAAAAAAAACACTAATGCCTAGATCCCACCTCCAAAGACTGTGATGTCCTTAGTCAGGGTTCCTCCCTGGCATTGGGACTTTTAAAAGCTTTCCAGGTGATCTTAACTTGTAGCCAAGACTGAGAATCACTGGGCTAGGATGTGGGGACCTTAGGAAATTGACCAATCAGTGTTTTGAGCTGCACGGCACTGGGGGAAATTTTATAAGAAGAGAAACATGATTTCACAGCATAATTTTCCAATCCCGTTTGTTTTTCAGATTTCCTTTTTTCAGGCTTACATGCCCCTGGTATAATCTGATGAGAAATTGCAGAGAGAAATTCTCAAGTCTTCACTGTATCCTCAGCTGCCCCCGTCCGAACGCACGCTGGCATCTTAAATTATGACAAGCTTGTCAGGGCTTTATGCCAGCCCAGAAAAGTCAAGTTAATTAAGTGCTTTTCAAATAACAAGTCTGAAATTTTCAAGAAAAATCTGTTTCTTACTTTACACTTAATTTATTGTATGGATTTTGCTAAGTGCCCTCTGTGCCCCCCCAGGTCTTCAGGTTGGGTCACATGGTGTTTTTGTGTAATGAGTCTCAAAATGAGTTTGGCAACATCCTCTAATAGTCAGCGTGGTGTGAACAGCACATATCCCAATCAGCGTGTCATCTGGGCGAGTATGTCCCATTCCCCAAGTTCACTTCCATTATAAGGACAAAATACTACCTAGTGGCCACCGGTTTAGATTGCTGGACTCAAATGGACTTGGAGAGCAACTGATCCAACAATCTCAACTTACGGAAAACGGGGCTCCGTAGAGGCGAGCTGACTTGCCCAAGGTCATGGCTCTTATCAGAAATACATCTAACATTTAATCTTTAGCCATGGACTCACATTTTATTAGTACAGAAAATGGAGTTCTCACGTCTTTGCAGAGAGGAAATGGATTCTTTATTTAGGCTCAAAGGAACTGAGGAACTGGCTGCTTGTAAAACTGGGTCTACCCAGGTGAGGACTGGCTTCTGACTTAAATATGCCATAGAAGACCCCTTCCCACTGCGGAAAAACACAGCTTTTTGTATCTTGCACAGTGAATAGGGGGTTGGGGGAGCAGAAACAGCAGGAACCAGGGAGGTCCAACTCTAAAAACAGCCAGTTTGATGGGAGGGGGCTAGAAGTTTCTGCCTCTGTCTGGGTTTGAGATTCCTCATGAGGCATAGACACTGCCCCCAGGCAAGGCAAGGTTAGTGTTTGTTTTTGTTTTTTTGGTTTTTTTTCTCTTCAAACCTTAGACCCAGAGCTGTTGGAAATCACTCAGGATACAGGGCTCTGGGCCGCTGAGCTGAGCTAACAGCTGTAAATGGACACCGACTGGGCCTCCACCACCCTTTGGCTCTGTAAGGCCCCCAGAGGAGAGGGGGGCAGTGGGTGACGCCACACGGTCCTGGCACACACCAGTTTTCTGTGTTTCTCCCACATGGACCAGCTATGTTGCCGGCCAGCATTGATAACAGCCTGAAAGCTTTTAGGACAGATTTCTCAGCATTGTCACTTTTCGTTCTGTCTTAAGCATTTACTGGACAGGACAGGCTTTTGTGACTGACCCCAAGCTTTCTTCTGAGAAGGGCAGATTTTAGGGGTGAGGAGGGGAGAGTGGATGTCAGATTCAGAGTTCAGGGATCTGAGTTCCAGCCCAGGCTCAGTCCTAGATAAACCACATGGTCCCCTGGGCCTTAGTTTACTTATCTAGGTAGACTGGGAATAACATTCCTATCATTCTTAACAGCATTCCTTAAGCATTTCCTCGAAAGAGCATCAGTCTTGAAATCCTCATTAGGCCTTATTTGTTTCAGGAAGCAGAATCAGGGTAAAGACAATTATGGATAAACCCAATTAGGGTGAATATGGTTTTATTGAGTCAAGAATTCAAAGAGCCAATTTTCCTTGGAAGCAGTTGTCAACTGCATCATTATTGCAACACTATGTTCAAATTCTGGGGACATATTTACTTCCTTTCAGAAAAGGAGCCAACAGGGGTCCCCAAAGCCTTCCAGGCTGTTGGCTGGCTTCGTCTTGGTCTTCCCACCGGACCTCTCTTGGAAGGCAGAGTCACTACGGTGGCCAGGGTCTCACGGAATCAGGATGCAACCTGCACAGAGGCACCGCATCTGACTGTCCTCGGGCACGAAAAGGGCTGGCACCCTGCTGGGCATGGGGCGAGTCCGCTCACTGGACCAGGAGCTTCCCAGGACTCTCCCTAGGCAAAAGAAAGGGGGGGGGGGCTTCGGGGCATGAAGGATGGAAATGCAAACCAGTGAGCTGGTAGGAGGGGCCCAGTCATACTCACCATGGGAAAAATGCTGGGTGGGCATTTTGACTGACAGTAGGATTCCCAGACTCGCGGGGTGGGGGGTGGGGGAGCTGAAGTCACATAGCAGGAGGCCAGATGGACTCTCACCTTCAGCAAATTAAATTAATTTGGGGAGTCTCAGTTTCTCATCTGAAGATTGGGAATTATGGAATCTACCCCGACTCTATCACAGGGTTTTGGGAGGCCTGGAGCAAGCTCCTGGCTTTCCTGTCTCTCTGCAAGTGAGGCCTGACCGCCACATTTGCTTGTCAAAATTCTACTGGTCCTCCATCAACCCACTCCTGTGCCAACCTGTGTGTGAACCCCACATCCAGGTGTCCCCAACCCTCTCTGACCCCTCATAACGCCTTGTCTAACTTATGTTGTAATAATTGGTTGACTTGCCTGGGCGTTCCCTTCTAGGAGCTCAGGAAGGTCAGAGAGTCTTGCTCACTTTGTCCCCACTCCAGCACCCAGAGTGGGCCAACACGGATTTGCCGGATTAAACGAGAATGCAGTGTTAGATTCAAGACAACTACACTGTGGACGTGAGCGCAAATAATAGATACAGTATAATACACTCTGGAAAGAACCTGGGGGAATAACCAAATGAAAACCTCTTCCAACATAGCATGTTTTTACACAATAAAATGTAAACCACTGTTATATTATTGATTTATTTTATTAGTATTATTTATTTCGTGTATTAGAAATATATGATCAAAATCATTATATATGTGTCTGCAACCCAGCTTATGCCTAAAAAGGTTTAAGGCAGTCAGTAATTGCTAATAATAGAGCATAATTTTCATTCTCCTCCCCCACTCCCGGGAAGCCATGTCTTGCTTTCCTTTTTCCATAGTTACTTATCGCCTGCTAATATAATACAGTTCTTTTTATTTGTTATGTTCATTGTTTATTGTCTTCTCCACTGAAATGTAAGCTTTTGTGAGTGGGGATCTTTGCATGTGTTGTTCCCCATTATACCCCAAGGTCTAGAACAGTGTCTGGCTTATGGTAGGAGCACAATAAATATTCACAGGACACAGGCATGCATGAATGAATAAATGTTCCATTCACCTACCTGAAAACCCGAACCACACAGAAACTGTCTCACCAGCCCTGCCTGCAGACACTTGAGATGACAGGAGTGAGTCCCTCTGATATCTTCAAAGTGTAGTTTATTTTCAAAGCAATTCACTTTCTAATAACCTATCAAAAGCAACACCTACCTGAATATTCTAGAAGCTCAGAATGTCTCCCCCAAGACCCATCCTCAGCTCACCTCTGATGAGGCGCATGAAACAGACAGAAACAGCAGGCTTCTGCCCCATCATGAGAAATACACAGACCAGAGTCAAGGCACTTTCTGGCCGCTCAGGCATCACACATGAATTAAAGCAACTGCCTGATCACAGCAAAGCTCCCCATCGCGGTGACCATAAACGGCAGCCATGGTTACTGACAAGACCCTTCATTAATGGAGCTGGGGGCTCCTCCCTGACCTAAATGTGGACTCAAAATAAGCTGTCAGTTCACATGCAGCAGTCTGAAAAACCGGGGCGGGGGCAATGCAGCACGTAACAGATTAGGCACATACACGTGGCTGCTACTGGATCAACCTTTTTTTGCAAGTTGCACATTTTCTCTAGTTACTATAATCAAGATTAGATATCAATAATGTTCTTCATGTCCCATGCCCTTTCCCCGGAAAGGTGCCAAGGCCCCAGAACCTTCCTGTTCAAAAAAGAAAAGTTCCCTTTGAGGCTGACGTGTACTGCCTGAGCTGGAGGTCTTTGAAACCAGGTAGGGACTGGGATTTGGGGAGGTTTTAGTTTTCTTTGGATGCTTTTAGGTATTTTCCAAATTTTCTACAAGAATGCCTGTAATTCAATAATAATGGGGAAATGCTGTCGTTATTTGGTGGTGACATGAGTTTCTATGCAAGCGTTCTGTAAGCGAAGAGGACAGAGGGAAACGAGGTATGTGACTGAGCCATCTATCCAGTCTCCCACGACGGGGGTAGCATGACTCCTGCCTGGGGGCGCCCCGTGCTCGCTGGTGGGCTGAGGTCGGGTCCCTAGGGTCCCTTTAGGGTCGCCTGACTGGGGCACCCTTGAGTTGGGCAAAGGGCCCGGAAGCAGAAGCCCTCGACTTACCAGGTCTGGGGCGCCGAGAGAGCCTGGTGTGCAGCGGGATCCGCGCCTGGAGAGCGCAGGGTACCGACAGCCAGAGCCTAGGCAGCGTCTTCAGCCACCAAGTATGCGGAACCCGGAGGGCGGGGCCTTCCCAGAAAGCGGGCGCCCCGCCCCGCGCCGCGCGTCCTGAGCGACCCCAGGCCAGCCTGGCCGCCCCCTTACAGCCCCTCGCATCCTGCCAAGCGCTTTTGGATCACTTCGGGTAGGCTCAAGGCCGGCAGAAAATCCGTTTTAGAACTTCCAGACAGACAGACAGACAGATCCATCTTCCTGAGGAAGTCTGGGGTTGGCAGGCTAGAAGGTGCTGCTGCTAAGGGGAAGGCCCATCCGGAGACCCCACCCTCGGCCAAGCGCCGGGACAAACACCCCTGCAAACAGCTTCAAACAATAGCCTCAAATACGTTCAAAACCCCAGCAGACGTCTTTTAGCTGCATCCTGCACCCCAGTTACTGTCACGCTTCTATTCGGCATTTATTGAGCACCTACTGAGTGCAGGTCGGCCCTGAGCTGGGCTGCAGCTGAGGACCACACTGACGGGGTCCCCGCACCAGGGTCAGTCGCTGGAGCCACCCACGCTTTGGCACTTGCCATCCCCAGACCTTGGGTGGCGAGAACAGCCTTTCTGGCCATGTGGGGCAAACTGCGCGGTGGCCCAGGTGACCCCGGGCAAATTTCACAGCAGCTGCTCGCCGGCTTAGGAGACAAGAGTGAGACTGGGAATTCCCAAATGCCAGTTCCGTGAAAGCGCTGGGGAAAAGGTCCAGGTCGCGGTCTGCAGGAGGGAGCAGGGCAAGGTGCGCGACCTAGAGCAAGAAATTTTCTCGGACGCCACGGTCTTCCCGGGCCCATCGCTTCTCCTTGGGCCTCCCCGGGAGGGGTACAACAGGTGTGACATTCTAGGACTCTGCCTCGCTGGCAGAGGCGCAGCTGGCCCTCCCCTGCACCGTGGGTGCTGGTAGGAACCCATACAGCCACTTTGGAAAGTCCTAAACTGTCCATAACCTCGATCTGTCATTGCACTGTGTGAACTCCATTCTATGGAGAGGACCTGAGTTATAGGAGAGCTTTACAGCATGGAAAAGTTCACTGTAGTTTTCCTTACATAACTAGAATCTAAATGTCTCAAACTAGAAAAATGGTTAAATTATGCTACATGTGATAGAATATCATCCTACATAGTGGAATATTATATGCAATCATTAAGATAATATGTACAAATACTTTATAACAACATGAGGGTTCCCTATATTATATATAATGTTGAATGGAAAATACAAGACCCTAAATTGTACATACAGGATTTTATGCATTATTTCAAAAGACTAAGAAAACACAATATTAATATTGCATGTTAGTGTTGGGCTTACAAGAGATTTATTTTATTTATACTATTCTGTTTTTCTCCCTTTTTTCCTGCAATAACTCTATATGCTTTAATATTTAGGAACATAATACATAAAGTTCATCAAAAAATTCCCTGGATTCTCCCTTCTCAAGGTCATGCTGTATTTATGTAGTATCGTTTGCCCACCTTTCCACAAAGTATTCCGCATGGAGGGAAAATGGATAATGGATTGAAGCAAAATGTTTGTCTTATCAAATTGTATGTGTAGCTGCCCACTTTTAAAAAAAGCTTTCAACAGTTTAATTTGTTATTCCTCTCTATTATTTATATTATTTTTGTCCTGTATTTTGCTTCTCCACGTTATAATTTCTTTAGGAAATAATTTTTGGTGTGGCTTTAGTAAAATTTTTTTCCAATTTATTTTTAATCATAGTTGACATACAATGTTATATTAGTGTCAAGTGTACCACATGATTTGATATTTAAATATATACCTGACAAGGTGATCACTACAATAAGTCTAGTAACCATCTGTCATAGTTATTATGATATTATTGACCCTGTTCCCTATGCTGTACATTACATCCTCATGACTTCTTTTATAATGATGCGGAGCCTTTTTAGTAACAACTCTTAGGCCAGGTAAACACGCACAAAGCGCCTCACACCAGCTGTGGAGATTACTGTCTCCCCATCAGGGGGCGGAAAAATACCTGCCCACCTGTCACCCAGGTATTGTGAGGACAGTGTGCATGGCAGCATTTTCCAAAAGGCAAAGTGTTGAGTGAGTGGTGGGGCTCTATTTCTCTTCCTGGTTCGCTCCATCCCACATGTGATGAATTATTTTATTGTGATGATGCTGTTGTTTGCATTTTCTATTTGGAATGATGAAATGGCTTCTTCTTTTCTCTGTCTCTTCAAGAGGAGAAGCTTCGCCTCTTTCATGCTCACCTCTACCCATCACGCAGGTACGATTGATCTGAAATAATTATAGCAACAGAGCCACAGCACACAAGCCCATGGGTCATTTCTCTCTCTTTTTTCTTTTTCTCTGACTCCTCTGCTGTCTCCATTTCTTTGAGCCCCTTCACTAGGGACTGTCCCTTGGGTAAGGCTTGGCAGTCGTGGGCCCCTGCTCCTCCCAGTGAGTTTATCTTCACTGGGAAAATCCCAAATCTAAATCAACTCATAACTTGGATGTCCTACTTATGTCCTTGTAGACACTACTGGAGAAAGAAAGTCTCTGTCACCAGAAAAGACTGATCCTCCCATTTTTAAAAATTTTATTTTTTGGGGGACAGTGTATATTTCCAGGACCAATCAGCTCCAAGTCAAGTCGTTGTTTCAATCTAGTTGTGGAAGGCGCAGCTCAGCTCCAAGTCCAGTCGCCATTTTCAATTTAATTGCGGGGGGGGGGGGGGTGCAGCCCACCATCCCATGTGGGAATCGAACCGGCAACTTTGTTGTTCAGAGCACATGCTCTAACCAACTGAACCACCCGGCTGCCCCTGAAAAGATTGATCCTCAGTGCAACCCGCCCAAGGTGGAGTTTAGGATCATGTGGACATTTCTTTGCTGTTCCCTCTGGAGTCCATTCAGTTGGTGTCCAGATGGCCCTGTATTCATCTAGGGACATTCCATGCCCTTTGGCCCCCTTCCTTCTTGCTTTTTTTGTTTTGTTTGGTTTTGTTTTTAAGCTGAGCCATCCTGTCACCTGTTTTCCTTCTTGCTTTTTGACCCCTTACCCCATGGCTTCTACTATCCCCATGGGCAACTGTTTTTCTCAGGGAGAAACACCTGTAAGGCAAACAACCTTTTTATAGTAGTCGCAAGCATAACCTGGGTGCAGTAGTGTGCTAAAATCACAATATTTTTTTCCCACGAGAAGGACAAAGAGGAGAAAGACCATGGAAGTCCCCATCCAGCCCCCCTGGTGACAGGTGATGAGGTGCAGAATGATGGAAGAGAGCCCCACCTGGCCACCTGGGGCATCAGCTCCCTTCACCCCCCCACCCCCACCCCCGGTGCTGTCCATGCTCCATCATCGTTCCACACAGACAACTCGACATGTCCCTGTCTTCTCTGGTGGCCATTTGGTGCCCTGTCTCTTCTGTCCCCCTTCCTTAGCCAACATCTCCCAGTCTGATTCACTTGGTCACAGAGGCCTGCCTCAGTTTCCTCCCAGGACTCCTCTTTGGCTGGGAGTCCTGCAGACAAGGGACATTCTTCCCAAACACTGCAGTCTCCAGGCATTCTTCTAACCCCCGCCGAGAGGACTGGCTCCGCCCCCAGCCTGCTTGAGGCCTCCAGGCCATTCCAGCTCCAAGGCCTCACTTCCCACTGCTCTGCTCCTCTGAGCTTCCAGGCCAGCTGAAGAGGCACTCGGTGCCCTGTGCACAGCCCAACTTGTCTCCCTCCAGAACCTTCTCCGAGGGGTCTAACCCGTTTCCAGTTTTACAAACCACAGGTTGATGATGGTCTTCCAACTTAGAGCCAGTGCTCTTTCAAATCCTAGACCTAGAGCAGAAGTCAACAGTGAGGGGATGCTAGCCAGCTCGGAGCCTCCAGGATTAGGGTCTATTGATTTCCTTCAACTTTGAATTAGTTTTTAAGATTAACAAATTGAGAGCTCTCATACTAAACATCTAGATTTCTGATTTCTCTTCAAAAGTCAATGGGTCTCGAAACTTTGTCCCAGCTTTGGCACAGCAACAATGGCAGGAACGGATGGCATCAGCCCCTTTCCACAGAAACTCGAGTTTGCCACAGCCCCCAACGCTCCACAATCTTCCCGACAAGGACCTACTTTCCACGTAGCCCCTTATCTGCCTGTCCCTTCCCTTTGCACACCTAGGAACTCATTGCCTCCCTGAATTGTTTTGTCCTTGATCATTTGTTGTGTAGCAAGTGCTTTTTGGCTGTGTCAGATGTGTCCGTTCTGTTTCTCCTTTTAGACTGAGGGTTCTTAATTTTTCAGGATTCTCCTTTGGAATCCGAGAAAAGCTATGGCTTCCCCCTACCAAGCAAATGAACCTGTTGGGAGCCATGCAGGCTGGCTTTAGTGATGCATTGTTTTGCATCTTGTTTTGCTCCTTTTTGCACCTGTAGGATGTTTATTTAACAGTGAGGTACCAGGCGAATAGGCCAGTTCCTAAAGAGACACAGAAGATTTGTAGCTATTTGGGTTAATGGAAGGAAGTGTTCTGGGAGGCTTACCCCTAAGGTCTCCCTGACCTTTAAAGTATTTAGTAGATAGTTAATAATCTACTTTTGAAGGAGGTAATGCATGTTTATCCCTTCTGTTTTGCACGTACCCTGGATGTATATAAGGATGTTGGAAAATAAACTCGGGGCTTCAAGTATTTACTGGAGTCCTCCCAGTAACTCTCTCTCTCTTCTGTCTCTTTTCTTAATCCTAACGCCCTCCCCCCCTCAGGACTGTTCGAGATATCGGCTGGCTCCGATATGAACCCATGTGCAACATTTGATCTGCAATTCAGGAGACTTATGGACCCCGGATGTGCTAAGTGATTTGTAGTTGCCACGTTAGGAACTGTTGATTTGAGGCAAGGACTATCTTTCCCATGAAACAGCACCAACCCTATGGGCCCCTGCTATGTACTGTGCTCATCCAATGCCACTGAGTGTTGCCCGACTGGTGGACAGCAAGATTGTTTATGAAAATAGTCATTCAAGCTGCCT